TGTCATAATTTGAATTATGAAGTATCTACTTGGTGTCAAAACTTATGGCTTATTTTATAAGAAACTATCCTACTCTACTCGAAGGTTTTTTACTTTGGGAGGTGGTTCTATTTGATGAAAATTAAAGAGCAGACAACTATTGTTAACTCTATCGGAGGGTGAACTAATTGGAAGATTTATTATTTCAAATTTCTTATTTTAAAATGCCAATTTCTCTTATTTTAATTGATTGTGACAACACCGCTACTATTGATAGAGTACAAAACTATTATTACAACGGTATATCCAGACCCATAAGGAGAAAATATTATACTGTGAGATCATATTTAATAAGTGATACTATTAATGTTGATTATGTTAAATAATGTAATAATCTTACAGATCCACTGAATAAGGCTTTAGCAAGAGAAAGGGTCTAACGCATATCGAGAGGGATGAGATTGAAGCCCAGTAATTCATAAATCATATATGAGAAAATCCGAGCATAGGAATTAGAGATCCTTTAACGAGGTTCAATAAAAATGACGAATCATATGATGGATTATTTTGAAAGGCACTATTATATTTACTATTATTTTATTCCTATAGTATGAGTGCATTTATCCGGTAATGATTAGTGAAGGTTGAGTCTATGAACTCTTAATTAAAATTTATAGCTTGTATGAGTAGGGTGTTAGAGTTACATGAGCAACCTTGATTGATTTTATCTTATGTGAGTGCGGAAGTAGGCCGCTTCCAATGAGAATTGGGCTAATTCTAAAAATATTCATGAAAACCAGGATAGCACAAGGACGTAATATGCTAGCTAATGAAGCTTATGTCAGCACCTTGATTATTATGTGTAAGTAGTAATACTTTATTATCCGTAGGCAGTTATAGTTCAAGTCTGATATCACTACTAACTCTGGAGTAAAGATCGTTGTTTTGCTAATTGGAGATACATTGAAGAGCACGTCTTCATTATGCGTAATAGTCTCCCTTCATCTAGTAAGCTCTCTTATTTTAATATTAAAATAGATAAACGAATGTTGGTGTATTTTCTATATGGTATTTTAACATGAAAATAACAATATTCCATGACTCTTATTAATATTTATTTCCCTATAATTTTAGAAGTGGCCAGAACTCCCACAAACTCACTATTCCATGATGTAGAAAGTGATTGTAGCTCTTTTTTAACTACTCTCCCATGTTGTACCATTAAGTACACACTAATTCATCTATTGACCCATATTATTCATGGTTTCTGTCACGACCCAAAATTCTCTCATAGGGTCGTGATGGCACCTAGTATCTAAGGGTAGGTAAGTCTATCACATAACGATATAAATCAGGATATAATAACTTAAAAATTAACAAAATACTGCGAAATATGATAATACTGCCAACATAGATACAATAAGAAACTTTTTAAAACCCGGTAATACTGAGTCATAAGCTCTACAAGAAATACTAAACAAGTCTCAAAGAGTAAAATGCTGTTTGGAATACATAAATAGTAGAAAAGAACGTAAAGAGGGTGACTCGAAGGACTGTGAATGAAAATACAGTGATACCTTGAAGTCTCTAACACGCTCTAGCACCTCCTAAAGATCTGCTCGATCTGAAGTACCTAGATCTACACAAAAATTATGTAGAAGCATACTATGAGTACACCACAGTCGGTACCTAGTAAGTATTAAGACTAACCTTGGTAGAGTAATGACGAGATTAAAGTCATGATACTCACTAGTCAAATAACCTATGCAAGATATCAAGAGAAAACTAACAACATAATGTATAATATAACAAATATCAACAACCTTGTTGAGCGTGTAAATAACTCAATGTAGAATAACTCATCATAGCCAATGAAATATCAAATAGGGATGGGGCATGTGATAGCATGTCAAAATAAACTAACAACTCATAAAACTCAAGGCAGAAACATTTAAGAAACAAGTATATGATCAAAATATCAACCCCGTTCCAACACATGAACAATATCAAAGGAATGCCCCAAAATATTCCATAACATTATCAACAACAACACCCTTATGTCGCCGTGTGCGCATAATAATGAAATATCTCGCATATATCACCGCACGCACATAAACCACCATTATCTTGCGGCATGTGCATCATAATTAAACGCCTCCCTTATGTCGCCGCATGCGTATCTCGCCACCCTTATACTCCACACAATATTAATCAAACGACACAACATATTCACATGTACCACAATATCATAAAATAACGAAATCTAAAATCACATCAAAATATAGTCCCACAACCCAACAACAACATGCACAAGGACATTACAATAACATAATAGTGTTGGAGTAATCAACAATAAAGCATGTTTCATATAGCAAATAACTCCAATTCAAGTCATATTAATAGCCTAAGATCTAATTCGGTCATAAACCACACACCGCCTGTGTACACACTCGTCGCCTCGTGTACAAGTTGTTTCACATAACACACAACAATAACAACAACAGCAATAACAACAACCCAGTATAATCCCACAAGTAGGGTCTGTGGAGGGTAGGATGTACGCAGCCTTACCCCTACCTACATAACACAAATATGCAAATTAGACCAAATCCTAAGGGGTAGTTTTTCTCCCATACAGGGTTAGGCAAGATACTTACCTTAATTAAGGCAATTCAATATACTAAAAATGCTTTTTCTTTATAATTCACCTTTGTCCAGCTCAAATATAACCAAAACCAACTCAATAATATTAAATAATGCAAGAGAAATAAATTTCAATTATTGAAGTTGCAATCTTTACCCAATTCCCCAAAAGTCAACAAAAGGTTTGTCCGGTCAAAACTCGAGTCGAGAGGTAGATCTTGACTACTCATAACCCCACGAGTCCAAATATATGATTAGTTTTCAAATCTGAGTCCAAATCGACTCTCAAATCTCAAATTTTTATTTTTTAAAACATAGTAAAAATCCCCAAAAATCCCGTTCAAATTTCATGATTTTGATGTTAAACTCCATAAGTAATCATGTTATAATATCAAAATTGAGTAAACATCACTTACCCAATAGCTATGTATGAAAATCCCCTCCAAAAATCGCCTCCTACCAAGTTTAGGGCCCAAAATGTGATAAAATAAGACCAAGTCCCGAAATCTCAATTATTTGTAGAGCTGCAGAAGTCGCATTTGCGACGACCGCAATTGCGACCCTTGGCTCGTAAATGCGGAGCCTGCCAAAATACCACAGAAGTCGCATTTGCTCCCACTGCAATTGCGATCCTTGGCTCGCAAATGCAGAGCATGCCAAAACACCACAGAAGTCGCATTTGCGACATAACGGATCGCAAAAGCGATCAGCCTAGCCCCAACCCCTTCGCAATTGTGAGATTGGCTTCACAAATGCGAAGCCAGCCGCCCCCTGCTCAATTGCAATTGCGACTTAAACCTTGCAAATGCGAACTGGTTCTCGCATTTGCAAGACTTGCAGGACGAGCAGAATATCTGAACTCAACTCAAACACCCTGAAACACGTCTGAAACTCACTCGAGCCCCTACTAAACATCCACACAAGTCTTAAACATCATACGAACTCGCTCGCAAGCTCAAAATACCAAAATAAATATCCGAAACCAGGAATCAAATACCAAAATACATCGAATTCACAATGAAACTCAAGAACTTATAAAATCACAACCAATTATCCAATTCCTACCAAACCAACTCGGAATGACACCAAATGTTGCACACAAATTTCAAATGACAAAACGGACTTATTCGAAATTTCAAAATCAAAATCCAAGCCCGATAGCCACAAAGTCAACCCATGGTCAAACTTAAAAAATTTCTATACTTCTAAATTGCCAACTTTCGGCAAAAAGATCCAATTCATCCTAGGAACCTCTGAATTCAATTCTGGGCATATACCTAAGTCCAAAATTGCCATACGAACCTATTGGGATAATCAAAATAATGTTCTGGGGTAGTTTCCTACAAAAGCCAAACTTAGTCAACTCTTCCAAACTAAGAACCAAGTATTCCAAATAAATCTAAAACATCCCTGAAACCCAACCAACCTTTCCCGCAGGTCACATTACCACAAATACACATACGGGAAGCTTCAAAAGGAAAAACGGAACTCAAATGCACAAAACGACCGATCCGGTCATTAAAGACTCATTTATTACTGCACTTTCTTCCAATTTAAATCAAGAAAGAATTACAGGAGCCTATCTTCAATATATGGTCCGTGAAAAATTATATATATAAACAACCCGGTGCACAAAACATACCAGGTTCACGCAAGATCGGAAAAATAGTCGTACCCCAAGGGATGTGAAAGTACATAAAAATTCTAAGGTTAAATTTATGGGAAAAAAAAAAAGAAGAAGAGAGATTTTTACTTTGTTAAAGGAAGGTGTTCTAGGTGGTGGAGTTTTGAACTCAATAATTTATCCAGAATTTGTTTGAGAGTCATATGACCTATATGATCTGGCTATTGTATCTTAGGGGAGATAAGTCAAGAGGATTAATACTGGATTAGTAAAGATTTTGCTGCAGTGGGCTTGAATTTCCTTATAAAGAGCGCGAAATCCGCACTTCAACTTTAAGAAAATATTTCTTTTTCTTTGTTATTTTTTCAACTGTAAGTAATTGTTTTATCATCAACAGGTTCAATATTAAGATTCTTAAAGGTTGAACCATAGAATTTAAATCTTGAATTTGTCTGAGCCACATAAATGTATGTAGTGTGTAAATACAAAATTTGAAAATAGGAGATCCTTAATTAGGAAAGCTGCTTCTAAATTAGGAATGTGACTGCCAAACCAAGTTACTCCCTCCGTTTCAATTTAAATGACACACTTTCCTTATTAGTCCGTTTCAAAAATAATGACAAATTTTTATATTTAGAAATAATTTAATTTTAAAATTTTTATTTTACCTACTTTACCGTTAATGAGAAGTTTTTATACTCACACAAATGTCAATGGCCCACACTTAACCTTTTAGGACCACATATTTCAAAAGTTTCTTTTGTTTTCTTAAACTTTGTGTCAAGTCAAACTACCTCAACTAAATTGAAGCGGAGAGTGTACAATAATTTCTTTGTACCAACAATTTCCTCTTTGTATATACCAGAGGCTACTAGCTAAAGAAGTTTAAGATGATTTGAAGTCATAGGTTGAAAAACATGCTCTGAATCTGATTCTAATGCCTCAATCATCTCAGGCCACAAGATAGCTGAGATAGTCCAAGATCCATCACCCTTAGCACCTGGCCTTTGGTTAATGTAACCAACTCCAAGCTTTTGTATGGTGGAGTATACTGTTCCTACAACTGGACTTCCGAAGCCAAAATCTACTTCAGCCACCGGGAACCTCCGTCCAGATGAGACAACAATCGCTGGACCACCTTGGCCGAGGACAATTTTCGCGAGCACCAATCCCGGCTTGTTACATTCAATCCAATCAATTAAATCTAAGAAATGTTCTGCACTTGTCACTTTAGAGATGGCGTTGTGCACGTTATTCGCGACATTTGCTATAGATGCTTGCTCAATTTCATTGACACTTGCTTCACCAACAGCTATAGATAAAGCATTCCCAATATAATTCTCCATTACTTTCTCAGTGTTACATATCCTTGTTCTTCCATCAACTAACCATCCCATCTTGCACTTCTTGCTGTGTCCTTTATCAATTGCCTTGACCATAATCTTCCATATGTAAGCCGAGAACGCCTCGATTTTAGTCCTTTTGGTACCATCGAGTGAAGCCAATTTTTGCAACCTGTCGATATTCGACGCATCAATGTAGTATAACCGCTTAAGCAATGTACTCGGGGTCGATATGTGGAGTATATCGTGAAGAGAGCATGAAATAAACGATTTGTCAAAGGAACGGTTGTATATAGGTGGGTACCGAGCACGAAGAAGGTACCGTCGGTGGTCAGGCGAGAAAGAGAGCGGTTTTTTCCTTGCAATCTCTGACCACATTAGTAAAAACTTCGTAAAGGAACTAGCATCACCTAAAGCATGATCAAATGTGAATGTTATAAATATGCCTCCACATTCGTAATTTGTGAGTTGGACTTGTACTGGAAACTCCTCATGTATTGGAACTAATTTTCCCTCTAGACACTTGTTGAGATTGTAGAAGTCAAGCTGATTTAGTGAAATGCTGGCTTGTGCTACCAAAAATAGAGCACCGGTATTATCACAGAGAATTTCAGGCTCATTTGTTTCTGGATTTGGAATAATTCGACCAGCAAATGGGTAGAAATGGGAGAGGCAATTAGCAAGGGAATTTTTTAATTCATCAGCGACTGAAGCTGATGAGTCGTTATGTTTTGCTTTGTGGTAGACGTAAAAGTAGGTCACTGGAAATCGTCCACTGAGAAGGTCAAGGTTTGAAAGGGTGAGAATACGAGGCTCTGGAATTGGACCAGTGGCTTTTACTACTGATTTTCTGATGATACTTACTGCGTAATCACCATTTCTTGCATCTTCCAGTGCCATGATATTGCCTAAGGAACTTTAATTCGTCTACTTTATAGTTCTACAATAGAGTTTGGTTGTGGTTGATACGAGGTATTTTGGACGCTTTTTATAGTGAATCAATTAGCAAATGGAAAGACAAGTTGATATAATGATGTTGTATACGGTCGGAATCGAACCCGCATACGACATAGCAAGTTAGGCTCGGTACATGACAACCAAAGATTGAAGATCGATCCCGAGTCCCACCGAGCTAGAACCCGGGGTCAGAACGCCTGTCTTCGAGAGCATTGAGTCCGTAATCTAGGAGTCGACCTTAGCCCCGATCGAGATCGAAGAAATATTGTTAGCATAACTAACATAAGGCCGAAATATTCGTGACCGGTCAGGTATTACGGCGGGAATCTCGGCGCGTATCAGTAAGGAACCGGCAATCAGCTAATCAAGGAATTGTTTACCTTTCATTGAATTGTACCTAAAGTAAGATTCCTCTATTGTATAAAGGGGGGAGGGGGGTCTGATAATTCATTCAAAAAAGAGGAAATACGCATCCCAAAGCAATACATTGTTATTATTTCTCTTAAGCTCTTGTTCTTCTGTATCTTGATATCGATCGAAGCGTACCTGGCTTGAGGGTGGTTAACCTTCCAAAGCCGATCCTATTCAATTCGTGTGGTTTGCATTTACTTTGTCATTATTTATTTCAATTACGATCTAATTTATCATTTTGTATCAAGTTAGTCCACGAATACTTAAAATCACTTACAAAATTAATTGTTATCCGCTTTTGAGGGTAAACAGATGTATGTAACCATTATGATCTAATTTAGTCATTTCATTTCAGGAAAAAGGGACGATCAGAAGTCAGTGTTAGTGAAATGCTTAGAGAAGATTGCATTATGAACTTGGACTTGTTTTGTAGTCATGCTGAATGTGACACGTGCTTAATTTTACGGTTTGGCAGGAATTCACTCACACTAGTGCTAATGTTATTAAAAAGAAAATTAACCTAAATAGGGTCCATTATTTCTCTGCGGAGTCGTCGGATTTACCCTTTTTTAAGTCCTACACGAAACAAATATGAGCAATTAGTTTTTCTTTAAACTCTGTCCATTGGATGTAGAAGACATGTACAAATTTAATTAGAGGTTCTGTTTGAAAAAGAATAATATCTTTTTTAATTTGAACCAATCTCATTCTTAAAGGTAATTTTTGTAGACACACAAACCGTTAATTTTAAATCTTTTTCTTTCTTTTTAAAATTTCATGTCAAGTGAAAATACGTCACATAATCAAATGGAGGTAATAGCAATTAAAGATGGGTTACGACTGATGGCGGAATCGACTATCCAAAGCCCGAGATACCTGGAATATGCGCGTTGCACTGTTAGCACTATAAATTAGTATAGTATCTTATTGAAAATGCAAGTGCTAAAGTTCAACAATATGACTTCATCAGTTATAGTGCGTCCTTTTGACAACTGGGAATTCAAATGGGGACTAGGTAGCAATTATGAAGTTCAACAAAACAATTATGTCACCCCCAATCCTTCTATCATGAGGTAGCTTATGTGTACAACAAATATCAGACCATTCCTTCTGCAGTTTCAGATTTTAACATTTAAATTCACAATGTATAACGATCAAGATGTTAGTTGAAATAACTACTGTATAATAAATAATGGGAGAGCAAAATGATGCGAACAAGAAAGAGGTAAATTTGAATTGTTAAATGAAAAAATGATTTAATGCACCTTTTTCTCTTAGATAATTGTCGGTCGTGCGGGTTAAGTAGTGCAGTTGTATGAATTAATTGACCGTAATAAACTTCCAATTACTTAGATGATTATAATGAGCAAGAGACAACTATATTTGTTGACTATAAATTCTGATGATCTCTTCACTGAATGTTCTTGTTTACCCGAAAAATCGGATAACGTTAAATTTAGATATGGTTCTAAGGGTATGCAAATTTCTTTAATACAAAATGACAATACAGGTATTTTTTGCTATGAAATGGGAAATGATGGACGGGAAGACTGAAAAATATTAGAAGAACAAGCACAATGAAATCATAATGTATCTTGGAGGACCCTCGTCTATTGCAGTATATCTCCCTTTTTATAGTAGAGGGTCACTACTTTATCTATAACAACATAATAAAATAATACAT